ATCAACTTTAACCAACATCCTGACATACTTTGCAACGATCTCACGAATATTATGATCAGATGTGCAAAGAAAATTATTCCCCAAGGCAAAACTAAACACTATCGAGTGTTTTAGTCTTAACACCTTAAGTGACTGGAAAGACAGCGAGACGTTCTTCGCAGCACTGCTGATCAGACTGAAAGAACAAAAGACATACAAGTCTGGAGACGACATTCGGCTGTGCTAAGGAAAGCCATCTTACAAGCTAAACGGATTTCCTTCGACACGTTCATCTCAAATATCAATTATCAAAGTGATAGCCAAAGCACTTTCGAATTCCTGGGTAACCTTCTTAACTAGAACCAAGAAAGAACCAGTTAGTTTAAAAGACAAACTGCTTACCACCGACTCCGGAATAGCTATCTACTTTGCGAGGTTCTAATTCCACAAACGAATGATAAACACTTTTGTCAGAAAAACTTCAAGTGATTTAAAGATACAAGTAGGACAGTTGGGTGAAATTAAGGAAGACGTAATACCAAATAATGTACTTACTGAACCATACAGACCTTGCGAACTTAATGCTGCGATAAAACAGCTAAAATGCAAGAAGTCTCCTGGCGAAGACGGTATTCTTCCAGACTTTCTAATTAGAATGGAGGCAATAGCCAAAGAAACCATGCTGCCGCTTTTAAACAAAATCTGGGAGAGCAGTCTCCTACCTAACCAATGGAAAGTTGCCATAGTAATACCAATACTAAAAAAGGGCAAAGACCCTAGCAACTTTGACAACTATAGGCCTTTTTCCCTCACAAGCGTGCCGGCTAAACTTATGGAAAGAATGGTTAACAGAGGGCTGACCTGGTTGCTTGAGACCAACAATATTCTTAGGAGTGAACAAGCTGGTTTTAGGCCACGAAGATCAACGAACCAACAAGTACTCACTCTCTCCCAACACAACAATGATGTCCTTGATTAAATAAATACCCTTACCGCTGTTTTCGTGGATTTCGAATTCGCTAATGACTTAGTATAGAAAGAGAAGCTAATTCTAAATTGGCAAATATTGGTATTAAGCATGACATGCTAAATTGAATAAAAGCATTCATTGGACAAATATCATGTAGAGTCATATATGGAAATGCTCTATCAAAATCCAATCTTTTACAAACAGGCCTTCCACAGGGAGCTGTCACAAGCTCCATTCTTTTCAATGTCTTATAGGAGCTGTCACAATCTTTTACAAACAGGCCTTCCACAGGGAGCTGTCACAAGCTCCATTCTTTTCAATGTCATCATCAATGACTTAGGCGAATCGGAAATGACAGTCACGGGCATCAAGTGCTTACTTTACGCAGATGATCTTGTGCTGCGATATTCTTCCCCTAAGAAAAACGCTCAGGAAAGGACAGAATGTGTCCTAAATAATGCAATAAAACTGCTAGCAAACTGGTGTGACAACAATGGAATGGTAATTAACAGCTACTGCATTCCAAACATTTCCTCTCCCTCGTCTTAGCATAAACCCGCTTCTTCTTTGGCCCATCAGAGCATAAACCCGCTTCTAAGGTTTTGGCCCGTCACAGCATAAACCCGCTTCTAAGATACAAGGAAATTAACACCGCAAAAACTGCATACCAAACATTTTCTTTGGCCCATCAGTGCATAAACCCGCTTTTAAAGTACAAGGATATTACCCTAGGAAAAACCAATGAGTTCACTTATCTCGGAATGACGTTTGCCACAAAGCCAACGTGGAAAAGTCACATTGCCAAAATAGCAGCACGCGTCTCCAATAGACTGAATGTCCTAAAGCGTCTTGCTGGTAGCGTATGGGGCTGTGCGCGCTCAACTCTCAACACCAATTACAAGATGTTTATTCAGCCAATAATGTTGTATTGCTGTAAGGCTCTCATTAGAGCCACGGAGGTGACTCTCAAACCCCTCGAGAAGGCACACAACCAAGCATTACGACTAATTACTGGAGGAATAAAATCAACACCCATTGATGCAATGCTCCAAGTTACATGAAACACCACAATAGGCTCCCTTATCAAAGAGAAGGCCTTGATCCTGCATGAGAATCTACTGCGCATTCCCATGGACCAGTTCTTCAGCACCTATGAGAATAGACCAAGACATCTGAAAACGCAATCTGGTCTAATACAGAAAGCCATAGAACTGAAGAAAGCGTTACAAATCGATGATCAACCAAAAAGCCTCTCTCCCCATGAACCCATCAGCAGACATTGATGTAGTGTGTTGCACCCAACTGCTCGACTTCTTCAGGAAATCAAACACTCCTCCCGAGCAAATGCGCTCACTGGCACTTGAGACAATCAATGTCAATTATCCTACAGATCAATGGCTCCAAGTCTTCACTGATGGGTCATACATAGAAAACCAAGCAAACGTTGGTGCAGGTGTCTATTCTGAACTCTTCTCTTTCTACGCAGCAGCGGGACATAATAGATCCGCTTTTGAAGGCGAAATAGAGGCTATTAGGATAGCACTAAGCCAATTATGTTGCCTGGATACGAAATTCACCAAAGCAGTGATACTTTCGGACTCACAGTCATCAATAAACTCTACTGGAAACAGAGAGACCCCCAAAACAGGTGAGATAAAGGAATGTAGAAAACTCTATGAGCTGCTGAGAGAGAAAAACAAAACAGTGGTCCTACAATGGATTCCTGGTCACTGTGGCATTAAAGGCAATGAGATTGCTGACACACTTGCTAAGAAGGGGACAACAATTTTGCAATGCATGGACCGGCCCATGTCTTTCCACACAATGAAGGCCTTAATCAGGAGAGAATTCCAGACCTCAAGGTACAACGAACTCAAAGCTCGAACAAAGGAGAAACAGTGGACAGTGGCACTCTCCGACATACCCGTCTGGCCAAGAATCGAAG